ATTTTAAGGATCTTGAACTCTGAAGATCAAGGATTTTTTTTTAAACACAAATACAATTATCCCCCAATTTTCTCCATTCTTTGTCTCAACATAGAGCCAAGTTCACCACCAAAATAATATTAATACCAGTCTCTTAGCAAATTCCTGCTGACATCTAATATTTGTTCACATGAAATGTAATTCTTGGGATCTTTAAGATTTGGACAAAATCCCTGTCACCTCCCCAGGACCTTGGGGAAAAAAATCAGGGAAATTAAGTGACTGACTTATTCGGCCTAAAGTGGACATTCGGAAATACATTCTCACTTTGCAACTTCAAGAAACACACTTCCACAATTTTGAGAGTCAGAAGGAAACTAATCTTCCTCTCTTTTTCTTAAATTACACAAATGGAAATTAATTTAGATACTTTGGAACTCATCCAGCTGGTCAGCCAGTGGAGAGAAAACAGGAAGTGGCAGATTCAAGCTTAGCTGGACTACATCCAGGTCTTCATAAAGAACTATCTCTCTTTGGCTGACATGTGAAAATTCTTTCAGCATGAGCATTAATCTTAAACTTGTGGAAACACCGAAGCTGTGGTTTACCCCATCTGCCTCTTAAGGTTTAAAGCCAGTATAGTCAGGTAGCTGGGGCCTAGGCATTCAGTTTTCATAACTGCCATTATTATAATAAGTTCATGCCACTGACTCACCTACCCTTGGCACAAGTCAGCTTTTCCTCTACGTCGATTTTTTTTTCAGCTTCAGGAAAAAAAACCCTTTAATGAAGCAGACCTGGCAAACTGAGCTTTGATTACTGTCTCCACCAGAGGCCTGTACAAGCCAAGCTATCCAAGCTTTACAATGTGGGATCTGACAGCTGGCTGTTTGACAAAAAGGAAAAACGGTGATTTTTCCAATACCAAAGATCCCTGACCAAGGAGATCTCTTTAAGAGGGTCTCAAAAAGAGGGTTATGGGGAAGAGGAGGATGAGTGGGTAGTGTCATTTTATTTTTTACTTGCAGACTTCATCCCAGTCTTCCAGCTCTCGTTTCCTAGTACCCCATGTCCCCAAGACACTGTCACCACCCCATGAACACTCTTTCTCATTTCCTTGCTCCGGCCCTCTGTACTGGGGTATCTTGGCCTTCCATTAGCAGAAACCGGGCGCTCTGAATCACCGACCCCCCATCTCTCCGGCGCTATCCACCCGCTCGGTCCCTCAAAACACGAACGAGACTCTTATCCAGTCACTAAAAAGATCCGCCGGCCCCGGACACGGAAAAAATCTCCCCTCTTCTTTGCAGGATTTCTCTCTTGAACTTCCCCAAGCCCTCTTAGTGCGAGGTGACCCCCAGCCCTAGTTAACCGCCGCTGCTTCCTTACCAGCTTCCTGCCCCCGGGGGGCGCCTGCCGGAGGCCGCAGTAAGGACAGCTCACTGCCAGCTCCGCCGTTACCCCTGCGGGATAAATCTAACATGGCGGAGAGAGACAGGGCCTAGTCCACTGTTTCTCTGAGTTTCCGACAAGATGATTGGCTCTTACCACTTGTCCCTCAAAACTACCACCCCATTCATTGGTCGAGACTGCGTCGGTGGGGGGTGGCGCAGAAACAACCTAAACCCGCAAAACAATAACAAACACGGGGGCGGAGGGGCGGATTCACGAGTGCGCAGACGTGGACCGGAGCGGATTTCCCCTTCCTAGGCAAATGCCATGCCCTCTGCGTTCCCTGAGGCCACTGACCTTAGAGGATTACTTGCCCGAAGCTCGCAGGGTTGGATGGGAAATGTAGTTTTCCTAGGACTTGTAGGTTCTTTAACCTATTCTCCGCTATCAAGATAGGAGGACATAATAGTCCAATCCATAGCTGTTGAAATACATAACCGCCAGAGGTCTCCAGTCTATCAACTAGCTTTCTGTGAGAATGGTGCCCACTTCCGATATCGGAAGCGGCTTTCCATAAGACTACAGTTTCGAAGGAAAACTATGGCGAAGGCCTTTCGTTTCGCAATGCATGCTGGAAATCGTAGTTTTCCTCCCCCTACAGTCCTTTTATTTACCTAAACTGGAGACGTCCATTGCGGCGGAAAGAGGCAGAGAATGCGGGCCTCTTCTTACGACTGCTTTGGGGACTATCTTGCGCTCATATTCGGGCCTCAGGTAGTGATTCTGACCCTCGCACAGCAATTACTGTGACGTAATAAGTCGCAGCTGGAAGCGTAGGGTCGAGGGGGCGGGAGCCTAATAGCAAACTCAGATCGAATTCTTTCTCTTCCGTCTCTTTGTAATTACGTCATGCAGGGACAAAATGCCAATGAGCAATCCAGAGCCCCGAAAGACTCTCGGCTCTTTCTGTCCCGCCTTTCCGTAACGTATCGTGATCTCGTATTCTGAGAGGCTATCGCTCGGCGTCAGCGGCTGGTTTCCGTGGCGACAAGAAAGCGCGGGAATTACAGATAAATTGAAACTGCGACTGCGCAGTTTAGCTGGTTGCAACGTTCTGGACCGAGGACAGTTCCGGGGGTCTGTCAGATACTGGGCCCTTGGGCCCAGGAGCCCGGACGCTTTGCTCTGGGTAAAGGTTGTAGAATCCCGGGGAACGGAGAGGGGCCCAAAGGGTGCTCCGAGCGACAGGCAGGAAACAGGTATGGGGAGAGTGGACTACTGAAAGAGAAGATGGTGTTTATTGGGCTGGGGGGTGAAACTTGAGGGACCTAAGACGTTATGAACCTGAGGGCAGTTTGTGGGTCGCAAGGGGAGCGTCGAAGATAAGGAAGAGGGCACGGTGTGTCCGAGAGGGAATCCTGGTAATAGGAACTGCAATATGCCTTGAGGGGGACACTAAGAGTATACAGGCTGGTATATAGGAGGAAGAGGGGGCAGGGAAAGGGAGGAGATAGGATTTTTTGGAAGGGAGGACCCTTAAGAACTGGATCCAGGCCCGGCACGGTGGCTCACGCCTGTAATCCTGGCACCCTGGGAGGCCGAGGCGGGAGGATCACTTGAGCTCAGGAGTTCGAGATCAGCCTGAGCAAGAGTGAGACCCCGTCTCTACTAAAAATAGTAAAAATTAGCCGGGTGCGGTGGTGCATGCCCGTAGTCCCAGCTGCTCGGGAGGCTGGGGCAAGAGGATCGCTTGAGCCCAGGAGTTTGAGGTTGCTGTGAGCTAGGCTGATACCAGGGCACTCTAGCCCGGGCGACAGAGTGAGACTCGGTCTCAAAGAAAAAAAAAAAAAAACCTGGATCCATACACGTTTCTGAGAAGGGACAAGAAACAAGTAGAGGGGATTTGGTAGTAACGTGCTGCCAGCAGGCATATGCTTGAGGAGGATCCTGAGATGAGTACAGGTCACTGGGGAAGGGTAGGGGTGGGGAAGCATTGTTTAATGTTGGTTTTGTCCTTGTTGGTTTGGTTTTAAGTAAGAAATAAAAACAGCCAGGATGATTGGAAAAAGCTGAGGCTACTAACACCCAGCTGGTTAGTCACTCCACTGTGGCTTTCCCTTCTTGGAGGAAGAAAAAGACCCAAAAAGGAAGAGCTTGGAAGCTATATGTGAAAAAATAGAGAATTCAAATTGTTTAATTGCAAAAAGCAACTTCTAGAATCTTTAAAAATAAAAGCTATTGTTATTTAGTTCTGTGGTTAGTATAATTTTAAAACGCTTCAATATTAAGTTTCTCGTATTTAAAAATGATACTTAATAAAATTAAGCTGTCATTTTTATAAACCTAAGTGATTTTTTAATATATATATTTAGTTTTTTAGATGTATTAAAGTTCATCAGAACAGAAAGATGGATTTATCTGCAGTTCCCGTTCAAGAAGTACAAAATGTCCTTAATGCTATGCAGAAAATCTTAGAGTGTCCAATCTGGTAAGTCAGCAGAAGAGTTTATTAATTTGGGATTCTTCCTCATATGATTATCTCCTATGCAAATGAATAGAATTGACCTTACACAGTAGGCAGAAAAAATATGTCTATTAAGATTAGGCTATTAGAATTGCTGCTTTTCGTAACTGAAGTGCTTTAAAAATATAGAAAATTACTCTTTTTTCTCCATTCTGCCTCTCTTCCTCCCTTTCCCTCTTCAACACACACGTTGGGGGCAGGGGATCTGCTTTGGATTAAGTAGCATTTGGCCTTTCTTTCCAGGTCTAAAACCAGTTTGAGCATTTGGAATGGCAAAATAAAATCACCAATGGTTGGTGTCCGTGAGGGGATAAGTCTTTGGAAGTACATTTAAATAAGAATCCTGCAAGTGATTAAAGTCTTTAGCAAGTCTGATTCTGAGCTTTTGTTTTTCTATATCTATAAAATGAAGAAGAACCTGGACTATTCAAGTTATTTTTTTAATTGATGTATAACTTACAGTGGAATACAGAGATCTTAACTGTGCAAGTCAATGAGTTTTGACAAATGACCATACCTGTGTAACCCAATCCCTAATCAAGATACAGAACATTTCCATTACCCTAGAAAGTTCCCTTGTGTGTATTCAGGAGTTCTTAACTTGCAGACCCTTCAGGACTCTAGGAAGCCTATAGATAGAACTGTGTTTCAATACAATTACTTTTTTGTGAAATTTTTTCTTTTATGCATTTAAGAGCATTACTTTGAGAAGGGGGTCCATGGCACAACAAAGGTTAAGAACCCAAAGCAGTCATTAAATAATCTCTAAAGTTTCTCTTAAATCTATAAAAGAAATGAAAAGTCATATATCAGAATCTCTTGGTAAGAAGCCAGAAAGGAAAATTAGAAGAATTTTTGCCTACCCTTTCCCCTCTTATTATTCTCTACTCTGGTCATTCTGGCCTTTTTAACTGTTCTTCAGACATGTGACATAGTCTCTTGCCTCTGAGTTATTACACTTGCTGTTCCATCGGCCTGCAGTGTTATTCCCCTGATAATGCATGGCTTGAAAATCTTGATTGAAATAGCACCTTTTCAAAGAGGCATTTCTATATAAAACTGCAACACCCAACACACTCCTTATCCCTTTCCTGCTTTATTTTTCTCCAGAACACTTATTACTACCTGACATTTTATATACTTTATTCATCCTTTATCTCTACCATCACAGAATGTAAACTCCATAAGGGCAGAGGTGTTTGTTTGTTTATATACTTACATATCCTCAGCAGTTAGAAGATTACTTGGGACATAGTAGCCATTCAATAAACATTTATTGAATGAATTAAATAATAAACAAGGCCGGGCACCGGTGGCTCATGCCTGTAATACTAGCACTCTGGGAGGCCAAGGTGGAAGGATTGCTTGAGCTCAGGAGTTCAAGGCCAGCCTGAGCAGGAGTGAGACCCCCATCTCAAGTAAAAATAGAAAAAATTAGCTGAGTGTCCCAGCACGTGCCTATAGTCCCAGCTACTCGGGAGGCTGAGGCAGGAGTATCACTTGAGCCCAGGAGTTTGAGGTTGCAGTGAGCTATGATGATACCACTGCACTCTACTGGGGCAATAGAGCAAGACTCCGCCTCAAAATAAATAAATAAATAAATAAACTAAATTGGGTAGCCACTGAATAAACATTTATTGAATGAATTAAATAATAGAGTTGGTTCTTTGATAGTTTAATTTTTTTAAATATAGTGACAGTTAGTGGTGGGTAACATTCAAAAAATACATTGAAAAGTTACACCTGTTTCCCCTTACCCTCAATAAAAGAAGGAAATTTTCCTTTGTGCTTCATGAAAGTTGTTTTCATATTTGGAGTCAATAACATTAAGGAAAATGCAGGTTGTGTTTTCAGAGATACAAGATTTATAAATAATCGTCTTCTCCCTTGCCCTTCAATATTTTAGCTAAACAAAAATAATAGCAAAACAAGATTTACAGCCTAATTTATGGAACATCAGAGCCAGGGAAACAGGAAATGATATTGGAAAAAAAATTGCTTTTGAAAAAGCAGAAAACTTACTCAAGATAATTATAGTGATCAAGAAGTCCTCAATAGCTGGGCACAGTGGCTCATGCCTGTAATCCCAGCACTTTGGGAGGCTGAGGAGGGAAGATTGCTTGAGCCCAGGAGTTCAAGACCAGCCTGGGCAACATACTGAGACTCCATCCCTGCAAAGAGAAAAAAATCCTCAATAGTGTTGCATTTGGTTCCATTTTTTTTTTTTTTAACATTTTGAGACTCAGTCTTAAAAATATATTCTTTCTTATTCTGGCAAATTAAACCAATTTAAAAACTCAGATACATAAAAATTAAAAATGCAAGAATGAAAGTTAATGCTAAATTTTTATTTTCAGTCATCTATCGTGTATTTTCTAGCTTATTGTTTTTCCTTTTCTGTTAGAAATAGATTAATTTTTAATAGTTTTTAAACTCGTTTTTATGGGAAGTTCTAGGATGGGGATCGTACCTACTTCACCTCCCTTTTCTTTTTTTTTTAAACAGTGCCCAGAATAGCACAATTTGCAGTTATGTCTTAATATTGTGATTTTTGATTGTGACTGGAAACAGTGGTACTTGTGGTAGCCATAGGATAGGTTTTAGGTCTCCTGAACTGGCCTCTTCCTTTTACTGGTCTCTAAGTCACTATGGCAGTTATTTCTGATAATTGGTTGTTCTTGCTAACCTTTTACATATGACTATATGAAATTTTTGACTTTCAGAAGAATTCAATAAAATGTGTACCCTGCTGGGTTGTTTTTCAGACCTAAACCTAGCTTTTTTTTCAGTCATTTACCCAAGTTGGAAGCAAAAATGCAAATATGCAGTAGGCCTAAAATATTGTTTGGTTTGAAAAGTGTTGAAAATATTTGAATCACTTTTATAGTAAACATTTACTCTCATCAGGACATAGAAGAGGAACATTTTAATCTTTTTCCTATTCCCTCTTCACACTCTTCCTTCAACAGTCATTACCTTTTTACATATTGGAGTTTTCATCTGTTCAAAGTTTGTGTTTACAGTGTGTTTGTATAGCCTGGATTATAATTACCATACTGAAATATAATTATTTCAGAATTGAGTCAGTGGTGAGAATGAAAGCCATCTGGTATCATAGCTAAATCCAGTTTCTCTTTTACTGAGAATTTCTTTGATATCTAACTTGTCTCTAAATAGTGACTGACTTAGTAACAAATCGGAGTTCTCTTTGTCAGGGTTGTTTTTCATTTTAAAGCCATATTTTGTCCCGGTAATAATACCAACATTGGTACAAGTTATCTTACATTGTGAAGCATCTTCCCAAGTAGCATTTAATTTTATTCTTGCAGTAGCCCAAGGAGACTGGCAGGATGGGTGACAGAAGGAAACTGAGGTTCAGGTGGAGTTGGCCCAAGGTTGCTCTGCTAATAAAGACAACTGATAGTGGAAACCCAGCCTTCTGACTTAGTTCAGTGTTTTTCCTTTCATTGCCCTGTGCTGCGTCAGAAACCCCATGATTACAAGAGTTATATTACCAAACCCTTCACAATAAGGCTATTGTCCCCCAGCTTTTCTTGTGATCCTTTTCTAAAAAGTTAAATGTTTAATGAAAAGAACTGCATTCCTGTCACATTACCAGGTTGCCTGTTCTTTGATGTCCTGCCTGAACCTTACCAAAAATCAGTTTTGTAAGCTCACATTCAGAATAAAGCTAAAGACTTAAAATACCCTACGGGTTCCTGCCTGCTCGGTTTCCCAGCTACCTCTCTGATGTCATCCTACTACATCCCCCCAATCCTAGCACCCTGGCCTACCTGCTATCCTGCAGGCATGATCTTACTCAGGGTTTGTCCTCCCTGCTCCCTCTGCTGGGATGCTCTTTCCCCAATTGTTACATACCTTGTTTCCTCACATTATTCAGCTGTCTTCCAGTGTCACCTTCTCAGTGAAGCCTTTCCCCCAACACATATACATTGCACTCCCTATTTCCCCTTATCCTGCTTAATTATTCTCTTTAACACTTATTTCCATATATTCTTTATTTCTCTATCAACTGTTTACCACAACTAGAATGTAAGCTCTATGAAGGCAGACTTTATTTTGTTCACTGCTGTATTTCCATCTCCAAGAACATTGCTTACGTATAGTAGTAGATGCTTAATAAATATTAATAAATGAATTAATCTCAGGAAGGTCTCGAGATTTTGTGGATAAACATGGGAATTTGAGAGATATATTTTCTCAAATTTTTTGTATTTTTCTAAGTTTATTTTAATATTTTCTAAATTTCCTTTAATGAGTATTTATTACATCATTTTTTTTACAAAGTAATCACAAGCCAAACATCATGACCCTCCTGAAGTAATCTAATAAAAGTATACAGTATCATCTGTAAGGTGTTCTTGCCAAAAAATTGAACCCAAATTTGGTTAAGCCTGTAGATCTAGTTTACAGGGAATAAAGAGGCTAGAGGAACATGTTAAAACCACACCATGGGGTTACAATCAGCAAAATCCAGAATGTGGAGATTTCTACAGGTCAAATGACCTGATTTTTAAAGTAAATGACAAAGGAAAAAAAAAGGAAGAGAAATGTATAGATTAAAAGAGACTTGAGGGCTGGGCGCGGTGGCTCACACCTGTAATCCTAGCACTCTGGAAGGCTGAAGCGGGAGGATCGCTTGAGCTCAGGAGTTTGAGACCAGCCTGAGCAAGAGTCAGACCCCATCTCTACTAAAAATAGAAAAAATTAGCCAGGCATGGTGGTGCAGAGCTGGAGTAGGAGGCTCGCTTGAGCCCAGGAATTTGAGGTTGCTGTGAGGAAGGCTGATGCCATGGCACTCTAGGCTGGGCAACAGAGTGAGACTCTGTCTCAAAAAAATATATATATATGTATATATGATTGAAAACAAATGAAGTATTGTCAGCTAATCTTTTAAACGCCGAAGATAATATAAAGTATTGAAGAGATCAGTATAATCATTTTGATTTCTGAAAGCTCATTGAAGGTAGGGATTATCTTCTTAGCTGTATTCTTACCTCGTAGCACAGCAGATATTTAATAATGTTTATTGAATGAACTTAAAGCCTTACCTTGACTCAGTTATAGCAGCTTAAAGTTGAACTTTTTTTTACTAAGAATTTATTCGTTGAGACAGGGTCTCTGTCACTGGGGCTAGAGTGCAGTGGGGTCATCATAGCTCAGTATAACCTCAAACTCCTGGGCTCAAGTGATTCACCTGTCTCAGCCTCCCGAGTAGCTGGGACTACAGGTGCACACCACTGTGCCTAGCTAATTTTTCTGTTTTTTGTAGAGAGGAGGTCTTGCCCTTGCTCAGGCTGCTCTTGAACTCCTGGGCTCAAGCAATCTTGCCTTGGCCTCCCAAAGTACTAGGATTACAGATGTGAGCCACCTTGCCCAACCAGAATATTTTTAAATAAATTATTAAGTTTCACTTATTTTCTCTTTTTTTTTCCCTGCCCATCTAGTCTGGAGTTGATCAAAGAACCTGTTTCTACAAAATGTGACCACATATTTTGCAAGTAAGTTTGAATATTTTATGTGACTCTGTTACTTGCTTTTCTGTCTGTCCTTTATAACACAGGAAATACCTAACTTTATAGAAGCTTCATCAATTAAGTGACAAAGAAAAATCCAACTCTATTTCATTCTGTCATTCATAAGTACATTCATGATATAAAGTCATCATAAGTGGATTGTAGCCATAGTTCCTGGTAAAGTTTTGACATATCTAGTGGGATATAAAATCACTTTGAATAGCTGTTTGTTTTTTGTGTCCATGGGTGAAAGCAGATTGCAAGTGATTGTAAAATAAGCAAATTATGTTTCAACCTTCTCAGTTTCTCCCTTCTGTTCATTTTTACATGTCCTTCTGCTTTCCCTCTTATTAGGTTCAGTGTTTGTCTGCTTCATAATCCTTGGAAAAATAGGGAAGGATCTGATATCAGTTTTTTTTTCTTTTTTTTTGAGACAAGGTCTCACTGTGCTGTCCAGGCTGGAGTGCAGTGGCATGATCATAGCTCACTGTAGCCTCCTCAGTCTTCTGGGCTCAGGTGATCCTCCTGCCTCAGCCTCCCAAGTAGCTAGGACTATAGGCTTGTACCACCATGCCTGGCTAATTTTTAAATTTTGTGTGTGTGCGCATGCACGCACAGTGGTCTCACCATGTTGCACAGGCTGGTCTTGAACTCCTGGCCTCAAGCAATTCTCCTGCCTTGCCCTCCCAAAGTGCTAGGATTACAGGTGTGAGCCACCATACCCGGCCTATTTTTTCTTTTTTAATAGAAAAAGCAAACCATGTACCTGGTAATAAGTTTGTTAACACAAAAAGTTATATGATACAAAGTTATTTCCCTCTCACCCCAAAACCCCGGAGTCCCTCTTCCCTTCCCAAACAACCATAATTATCAATTTCTTATGGATCCTTTAAAGAATTTTTTAGTTCAAGAGTTCTTAACTTGGAGTTCATGAATGATCTTTATAAATTTCCTAAAATTATATTCAGTCTTAAATTTAGTCGTATTCAAAACTATGGATATGTACATTTTTCCAAGAAGACATTATCAGATTCTTAAGATGTTTCCATAAGTTAAAAAAGGGAACAGTTGCTGCTCTAAGAATAATGAGGGCTGGCTGAAGCTGAAGGAAACCTGTTCCCTTTGGAGGCATACCCTTTGAGCACAAGTCTGCCAGATGGCTGGTGCCTTCCTCCTTGTGAATTCTTTTTCTTCCTATTGCCAATAAGGATCCAGAAGGCAATTTCCTCTGTCTTTTACCCCTTTCCTGTGTCATCCCACTGGCGTAGTAGATCTCTTCCCAACAGTTTCCTTCTGATTCCTCAGTCCCTTCTCCCTGGCCATGTGCCATGGCAACACAGCTTTATTTCTCTACTTCAAGAATTTTTAGTTTTATGACGTGTGGCCTCTACAGTAGTACTTCTCAAGCTATGGAGTAAGACCACTTTCTTTACAGAAAAGAGAAATAAGAAAAAATAAGAAATTACCAGTATTTACAAGGTTACAGATAGTTGAAGATTAACCTTTTAAGTGCTGGGACTTTCACTGTCCCTTGATGAGGATCTTTCTGAAATGAACTTATGGTTTCCTGACACGTTGAGTAATGAATACTGAATATTCTGTTACAGTGAGTTAAGAAAAGATGAAATTATAAACGTTAGTTACTTTGAAAGCTTGCGGAAGGAAGAAATTACAGGCAGAGGAAATAATATGAGCAAAGGTAAAAAGAGAAGAAAATAGAATACATCCAGGAAAAGGAAAATAACTTTTCATATGTGTATAGGGGTCGTGTTAGAAAAGAAAGGAGCCCTAGGAGAGAAGACATTGCAAGAGAGAGAAGGTCCAAGAAGCAGCAGAAGGGATTGGAAATAGAAAATAGACACAAGAAAGAGAGGTGATTGTTACTCAAACAGTAATGAAGGAAAGGAGAGTAATTCAACAGAAAGATTTTCGCAGGGGAAGTTGAAGTGCTTTGAGTTCAGTGAAATTGGAGGCAAAGACAGCTGTTGATATTGAGAGGGTTAGAGTTGGCAACTAGGGGAGAGTGAGGAAAGCTTGCAACTCCTAATATGGAGAATATGATAGGCAGTAGGAGAACCAGCCATATTTTAAATTGTTTTGAATAATATATTAGAATTAAAAGTCTAGTATAATGCCTGTAGAAATCAACTTTTCCATGAACTCTCTTCTGTAATACCTTTGTAATCTGAATAACACTTTGATCTATATGATCAAAATACCCCCAAGCATTTATTGTATTTTCTCAAGATGAACTCTATTTGCTAAAAATAAGACAGCTTTATTGACCTGAATAAGCGTATGGTTCTGAAATCTTTCACGAAGATTACTGAAAAGATAATAGTACCAGTCTAGAAAAAAGCCATCCCTGCATTATCTTGAAGTTTCCCAACAACAAATGAAATGTGTAATACTTTTTGGAAGATCTAGAGCAACCCTGTCCAAAGAGATGTAATGTGACCTATAGATGCAACTTAAATTTTCCAGCAGCTATATTTTTTTTTTTTTTTTTTGAGACAGTCTCACTGTGTTGCCCGGGCTAGAGTGCCGTGGCATCATCCTAGCTCACAGTACCAGTCTAGAAAAAAGCCATCCCTGCATTAT